AATAGCCCACTTCAATAGCGTCCTGGACACGTCGGGATTCTGGAGTATGTTTTTGAGTGGTTGATTAGTGAGAACGACAATTTTCGTCATTTTCGTAATTAGTGATGAAATTGAAAATATTGTCATAATTTTCGTGCTGCCACCACCAGGGCAAGAGCTATCTGCTCGACTAATGTATACCTGGTCTCGGTATCAAGTAATATCTTGCTCAAGTAGTAAAATTGGCTGTTGAGCTTTGTTGACCTCTTTCACCAATATGTCACTCACCGCATTTTGAGAAACTGCTAAGTACAAAAATAGAGTATCTCCAAGCTCTGGCTTCGTGAGAACTGGGAGAGGGTTGCCAATGTTTGTTTGAGCTTATAGAATGTCTTCTCACAATCCCCATTCCATTAGAAGTTATGATTTTCCCTCAGAGCTTTGTAAAATATGAAGCATCTATCCGTTGTACGAGACATGAACCTATTCAAGGCGGCGACCAGATCCATTAGTTTTGAACATCTTTCTTGCTCCTAGGGGACTCCATGGACGTTAGGGCCTATATTTGGCTTCAATTCCCTTGTGTGTGATCATGAAGCCTAAGAACTTACCTGAGGCTACTCCAAAGGCGCACTTGGCTTGATTTAATTTCATGTTATATTCCCGAAGAGTAGAGAATACTTCCTCAAGATCTACAATATGTTGATTTGCCTACTTACTCTTTACTACCATGTCATCCACATAGGCCACAATATTTTTTCCAATTATCTTAGCAAAGATTTTGTTGATAAGTCTATAATAGGTTGCTTCTGCATTCTTCAGCCCAAATGGCACGACCCTATAACAATATATGGTCGAGTCAACCATAAATGATGTTTTTTCCCGATCTTCTTCAGCTATAAAGATCTAATAATATCCCAAAAATGCATCGAGGAAGTTGTACAATTTATGGCCTAATGTGCTGTTCACGAGGTTGTCGATTCGAGGTAAGGCATAGCTGTCCTTTGGGTATACCTTGTTAAGATCTATAAAGTTGATACATACTCTCCATTTACCATTGGCCATCTTGATGAGGACAATGTTGGCGAACCAGTTAGGGTATTGAACTTCTCGAATAAATCGAGCACTGATCAACTTATCAATCTCCTCGGGCATGACCTCGCGATGTTCTGGGGTGAACTATCTCTTTGCTTGATCGGCTTTGCTCCTGATTTAATATTGAGTTTGTAGATCGCTACGCTTGGGTTTATCACGGGCATGTCCTCTATGTTCCATGCGAACACAAAAATATTACGGGATAAGTAGCTTATAAGCATAGCCATGAGGGTCTGATCAAGATCTCAACCAACCATCACCTTTTTATCATGCTTGAGCTAGACCTCTACCTATTCTTCTACTGGGGTAAGTCTTCCTCTAAGGTCGGACTCGGGTTCGGATGACAAGATTTGCATGATGTTGGAGCTTATTCCCAAACACTTGTAATATAGCATTGTCTAGCAGTTGATTACTCTCCACGCACTACCCACGCACCTTTACTCGTATGGAACTTCATAGCAAGGTGGAAAGTAGAAACAATAGCTCTAATCTTGTTAAGTAATGGCCTTCCTAGAATGGCATTGTAAGCCATTGAAGTACGAACTACCTAAAATGACTTGATTTCAGTTACCTGATTTTGATTCAATCCTAGAGAATGCCTCATGAGAGAGTATGTTGGCCGTGCTCCCATTGTCAACCAAAATCCTCTTACCTCAAAATTGGTTATGTTCACTTATATGACCAAATCAACATCGTGTGGATGTGATAAGCCCTTCAAATCCAGTGACCTGAATGTGATTTCTTCCATGTCATCAGGAATTTGCCTTAAGCTCGATTTACTGCTTACGCCCACTGTTCGAGCCTCCTCCTGATGTTATATCCCCGAAAATAATGTTAATGGTTTCCGCCGTAGGCTTGTCATTTCCTCTTCCTTCGGGACCTTTCTCCTTGTCTCAATCATTTCTCAGGCACTTGTCATGATTGACAAATGAACTTAGAAATTTCCTTTTTATTAGAGCCTCAATCTCTCTCTGTAGAGCTTTGCAGTTCTCCGTTGTATGCCTATGATCCCGATGATAATCAAAATACTTGTTTCTGTCTCGAATATTAGGAGGGGACTGCATCCTTGAAGGCCATTTGAGCTCTTTCATATCCTTGATCTCCATCAAAATGTTAGACCTCGAAGTGTTCAGCCGAGTGAGTGACGTTGGCTGCATCTCATACCTCTATTTGCTCCACTGAACTTCCGGACGAGGATTAAAATCGTGTTGTCTTTTGTGTTCGGGTTTTTTCGAGGTCGGATTAGGATTTCTCCTCGGGTTCAACATTTTATCCATATTAATATATTTTTCCATATTGACAGAGACATCTTGAAGGCCTCGTATCTTAAGGCATATGTAAGAGAGGAGATTGCTACTGTTATGGGAAGGTCAAGTATCTAAAGTCTTTCCTTATTGAACCTTGCATGAAGTTACGCAGAGATTCATTCAGTCCTTGCCTGAGCTGCATAAGGCAAGTGGCCGTCTTCTTGATGCGTTTGCTACTGGCAAAGAAGGCGGAAAACTTGTCGACTAAGTCAGAGAATGAGGCAATGGAATTGGGCTCTAGGGTAGAAAACCAATTTTTGGCATCGTTAGTCAAAGTTTGTAGAAAAGCTTTACACATCACGGGATCTGGTGCCACCTGCAGATTCATGACATTCGTATATATGTTGATATGGTTGATAGGGTCAGTTGACCCATCATACTGCTTCATGCAGGGGAGCTTGAACCTATCTGGGAGCGGATAGGAAAGCACTTCCAATGTAAAAGAAGTGTTAGGGATAAACCCTGTCATCCCTTGGGTGTTTTTTTTTTTTTTTTGCAGTCCAGCAGTGATTCTATCATGTATAAACCTGGCTAGTTCACCTAAGTAACCAACCTCGAAGCTGAGGCCACTAAGGGCAGGGGTGTCCAAAAGTCCCAAATTGTATCGGACCGAACTGAGAGATTCTTTATAAGTTAAATACCCGAACGAGTATCCGAATCGAGAACCGATGAGTTTGGGTCGGGTCTCGGGTCTAGACCAAGAACCGAAGAACCGAATAAGAACCGAAACTAAATAATTTTTTTATTTTTTATATTGAATTAATTAAATTATTTTATTTTTTTCTAAACAAATTAGCAAATTAATTAAATAAATCAGATTATTTCATAATTTTAGTTTTATTGGACGGCTAATTATTTATATGTTTTTGAATTGGGTTACGATAATTTGTAAAAGTTACGAATGAAATTTCATTAGTTGTATTTACGTAGTGTTGCTGTAAATATTAAAAAATTTAATTATAGTACGAAACCGAACCCGAACAGTTCTATAGTTATATTTGGACTCGACGGTTCCATTTATTAAATACCTGAAAGTTTTGGGTCGGTTCGGTTCTGAGAACTAGAACCGAACCCACGGACAGCCCTAACTGAGGGTACGCCCGAGGGCCCGAATTCACCATTGTCATGGGCTTTACGAGTATCCCGAGCTCGAGGATCAGTCATGAACCTTCCTGATTGTCCTACTATTGGTGTCGGCGAGTGCACCTGCATTAAATGAGCATCCCTCTAGCTTAGTAATTAAGTCAACGTTGCAACTTATTAAAGAAGTTCTTTGAAGGTACCTATGGTAACCACCTATGGTTGGGGAGTTGGTACTGCCGATAATTCTTGTTGATGAGCTGGGGGCTTCACAACAGAGGATGGGTCTGGTGCAGATGAGCTTGCTGGAAGAAGACCTGGACGTGTGTTGACCATGGCTTTTGGTAGTATTTCCCACATACAGCGACAATCACTACACCAAATATGGCATTTTGCAACACTCAAAATGCAACATTTGTCGATTAAATGTTGCTAAATAACTCTATCGCAACATTTTAATAAGTGAATATTGCTATTGGTTAATATAAATGAGCTTTCGCAACATTTTTTGGAATAATGTTGCTAATGTCGCTTTTTGCAACGTTTATTGAGTGTTGCGAAATTTTTTATTTTTCGCAACGTTTATCAAACGTCGCGAAAAGTCCACTTTGCAACATTTTTTAAACGTTGCGAAATATCTCACTCTATGCAACGTTTATTGAATGTTACAAAAAGTGAGACCTTTTATTTTTTGAAACGTTTATTGAACGTTGTGAAAAGTTACTTTCTGCAATGTTTGACAAACATTGCGAAAATTTTTGTAATTTTTAAAATTAGCTGATAGAAAACCAGAATAACCCAAACCCTAAGCTTATTTATGCCTCCCTCCATTCATTTCTCTCCAACCAAAATGGGTGATTTTTTTCCCTCAAAACTGCCCAAAATGCACCCAATTTTTAGCGACCCACGACTACCAAAACCATCGGAAATTGGTACCGATGGACAGCCCTTCATCTCATCTTCAATTAGCAACCAACAGCTTCCAAATCCATCAACTAAAGTTCGTTGCCTAAGAATCTGAAAATCACCAGAAAATCCACTTTCGGCCAAGCCCATGATCAAAACTCTACACTGGTCGATTGCCCATCACCATACGACTCCTTCCATGTCACCAATTCAACCCAAACATCATCATATAATTTTGAATTTGTCCCAGAAGCTACACCAGTCTCGCAGTTCACNATTTATAATTTTAATATATATAATTTTTTTGGATTTTATTTATTTTTTTTTATTTATTTTTTTTTTTTTTTTGTTTTTCTCTTTTTTTTTTTTTTTTTTTTTTTTTTAACATTTTTTTTTTTTTTTTTTTTTGCTTTTCTATTTTGATCTGAACCTTTCCCTTTTTTTGTTATTATCCATTTCAAACATTTTCCCGATTAGCTTTCGTTTTTCTTAAAATTAAGGCTGCCTCAATCAGTTAGATTTGGAAATTTCATCTAAGGTTCTAATTGATGCTATGAATGTTGAAATTAGTTTGGAGTTTCTGGTTTTGATAAATCTAATCTTGAGGTCGAAGGTTTTTTGGTTCAACATGATATGGGGAGTATCTACATATGGGTTTTCAAGGAAAAGCCTAAGAATGCTCTGGCTAAGATGCAGCTGCAGAATTATATGAATGTGCATTCTCGTCAAGGGGATCGACCCTTTCTATTTAGTGTTGATAAAGGTTTTGTTCGATCCCATAGGATGCAACATAAGCATTACACGGGTCTGTTTAACCCTCAGTGTATTCATAGCATTGAGGTTGTTCCTTCACCCAATCTCACGGATCTTGATGAAGATGACCGCAGAAGAAGGGCAGAACTCGCGGAAAGTTACTCGAACTTTACCATCCCACCTGAAGCAAGTGACTACAGTTCGTGGAGAAATATGCCAACCACATGAAGTCCGTGTTTGCCTTCGTCCTAACCATGGGAACAACAATCTTACATTGACCTAGGACTTGTTTGTTGTGGATCTTGCTTCATTGTTCTCTAACATTATGTCGTACAATGTTGTGATTGATGAAATAGAACATGCAACCTTGTTCTTTAGCATTATGTCATACAATGTTGTGATTGATAAAACAGAATATGCAATCAATATTAGTTGTTATGTTCTGTTTTTTAGCACTGATATACATGGAAAGGAAACAATAATATGTATGAGCAGTTATGTAGTATTTTGTTAACAATGATTAGGTTTGTAATATATGAATCTTCTATATTGTATCATTGTATTATTCAATGTCTATTTTAAAATCTTGCATTCCTCAAAATCATTGTCCAAATCCCCTAAGAACATAGTGCCTTTTAAGACGTCAAGGACCTATTTGTCTGGTTTTAGCTGATTCTTCCCTTTTTCGGCATCATGCCCAAATTTTGTAGATGTGTCGATTTCAATAGGGTGCATTCAAAATTGTGGATTTAGGTGGTGCATGGCTGTTATAAGCTCATGCCACAAGGTGTTGCTTCATGAAATTTCAAGAATGTGATATGAAAGTGTATTAAACAAGATATAATATGTTTTAAATTTTGATCTTAGTGTTGCCTGATGTGTGTTGGCGTCGTGTCTATGAATATGATGTTTTGTGTTCTCTCTCTCTCTCTCTCTCTCTCTCATGTGTGTGTGTATTATGCATTTATTTATGTACTTTATATTTTGAATGTGGTATAGTTTGTGTTATGTTGAAACAGGGTGAATTAGAGGAAGTGTGGTGAAAGTTGAGAAGGGGAGGAAATGGCTAAGATATCTACTGAGGAGTCTGGAACAGGGAGGTCAAAGTCACTGGAAGGGGTATGTACTGTGCTGCAACAAGAGTGCCAGCCTGGGGAAGCGTTGGTTTGGAGGTCTTCCGAGCTGCTGGAAAATGGGATCCCATCAACTTTACCCCCTTACTGGGATAGCAGTGGTGATGACGACGGTATACCATTTGTCCCCTTCAGGATACTTGGAATCCATGTTAGTGAATTCCTTTTGTTGATTCTGTTTTAGTCAATATTGACGAAGTAACATGATATCTATCAATATTGTGCTAGACATTTGTTACATGCAAAAAAGAACTTGTTAATGTGTGTGCATGTGGATGCCCGTGTTATTTTGCTATCACTGGAAACTTAAACTTTATTATTTATGTGCAGCTTATATCTACGCATTAAGAAGTGTACTCCATTTACACAAGACAAAGTGTTTGCAGTGGTTTATTCAAGGCTTCACGGATTTGAGTTGTTTTCTAGCTGGTGTGTATTCAAGGTCGGTGGGGCTATTTTACTCACTGCTTAGGATTTGTGGTAGTTCTTTTTTTTTTTTTTATTGAAAATGTATAGGATTTTTAGGTGCTTCAAAATTTTGGATCTAGATTTTGTACGAATATAGTTACATTTTGCAGTTCGATTAATAATGATTATTGGAGTCATTTGATATTGTTGTCGTCTATCATGTTTTATGATTGATTTATGTAAATCACTATACAAATAAAAAATTAAAAATTAAAAAAATGTAAAAATACCTACGGAAACGATCAAAAAATGTTGGGAAAGACTGTCTTTCGCAACGTTCAAAAAAGTTGCAAAAAATGTCTTTCGTAACGTTCAGAAAAAGTTGCAAAAAACTATCTTTCGCAACGTTCATAAAAAGTTGCAAAAGTTCGACAACGCTAAAAAGCATTGCAGTATCCTTCTAATCTACGGCAATATCGAGGTTTGCAACATACGCACAAACGTTGCAAAAAACCTTTCGCAATGTTTTTTAAACGTTGCGAAAGACAGTTTTTGTTGAAGTGAATTATGCTACCAAAAATCGTACTTGTTGATTTTCATGCTGGATGACAGAGAATGAGCACGAATGAGATATTCTAGTACTTGAAATAAATGTGTCGAGGTGTGTTCTCATTGCCCCTCGATACTTAAGTAAGAGAGAGAATTTGCAAAAAAATATGTGCTGGAAATTATGTGAAAAAGTACCTTGATAATGAATTGGAGTGTTGTATTTATAAAGGTAGGTAGTACATTCCTGCCAGGATTACACTGTTGAAGTCCATAGGAGTTCTACCATGTCTAGAAGTTCGACAACGCTAAAAAGCATTGCAGTATCCTTCTAATCTACGGGAATATCGAGGTTTGCAACATACACACAAACGTTGCAAAAAAGCTTTCGCAATGTTTTTTAAACGTTGCGAAAGACAGTTTTTGTTGTAGTGAATGATGCTACCAAAAATCGCACTTGTTGATTTCCGAGTTGGACGACTGAGAATGAGCACGAATGAGATATTCTGGTACCTGAAACAAATGCGTCGAGGTGTGTCCTCATCGCCCCTCTGATACTTAAGTAAGAGAGAGAATTTGCGAAAAAATATGTGCTCGAAATTATGTAAAGAACGTACCTTGATAATGAATTGGAGTGTTGTATTTATAAAGGTAGGTAGTACATTCCTGCCGGGATTACACTATTGAAGTCCCTAGGAGTTCTACCATGTCTAGAAGTTGCAACTTGATTGGTTTTGTATTACCCAAGTGTTTGGATTAAGATAGAACTCTAGTGGCAGAGTCCTTTCAAGATGAGGTAACATATTAACAACAGAACTTGAATTTTTTGGAAAGTCGTAACTTCGAGGAGGTCCTTAGCTGATGGGGGAAATACCCAAAACAAGGATGCTTGCCTGAGGAAGTCCCCATGTTCATGTTTAGAAGGGAATCTCGGGCTACCATGTACTCAGGATATGCACATATTGGGATGATCACAAATTAAAATTTTTGATAACATAGCTTTCAATTTTATAAATGGTCAAAAATTTGGTTCAGTCTCTAATTGGGATTCATTTTTTTCTACTTAAAAATTTTAATTTTCATGGTTAAACATTTATTTTAACTACACATTTTGTAATCTTCATATATACTACACAAGTTAGTAGATTTTTGCGGTATTCTTGGAGTAGTTTTTTTAAAATAATCTCTATTTTAGTTTCACCTCATCTAGTATGCTTTTAGGATTTCCGACAAATAATTTAGAGGATTTACAAACTTTCAAGGAAGAAGCTTAAAATCACAATGATTCTTCCTACTTGAACTTATTGAAAACTTGAAGAAAGTTTGTATATGTATTAGAATGAGGAAAACTCAAGTGTAGAAACTATTAAAAGTGACATATTGCTTTTAATAGAATAATTCCGTACGTATGGTCAAAACTAAAAACGGATAATTAATAAACATTCGGTAACTTAGTAGCCATTAATTTGGTAATCCGTGACTTTCATATATCAATGCGTCTAGGTAATAAAGCTTATACGTCAATCACAATGTGATTAATCAATTATTTGGGCATTGTTCATAACATTACTTTTTTATCAATATATGTAATATGACGAAATATGCAAAAATAGAGTAAGAACCAAAGTTTTAAAAATTGGAACGGGTATCGTTCCGAAAAAAAGAAAGGGTCAAGAGTCAAACCGAAATCCATCCATTAATATATATATACAAAGAAATTCAACAAATGAACATAAGTGGAAACTAAGTGCGCTAAAAGGCCCAAAACTTCTATAACTTGTTAATGACAACCTACCCCATATGCAAACCCTATTATCTAAACATTTTTCAGATAAAAGAACATAGTAGATGGTTATAATCTTGTCGGTAACGCCTCATCTTTTCTGATCTCTACTCTCTCACATGTACAAATATTTATATATACACACACACACATATACTTGTATACAAATACATATCCCAAGTCTGAGAATAAATATTAGTGTGCTTTCTACCTTCTTTTTTTTCACTACAATAATATTTAAGATTCACTATGAGTTTTGGATAACCGGAGAAACAGTAGGGATGATCGGAGATATGACAGCAACCAAGATTTATTGTATTTATCTAGCTACTCATAATTTTTTCTTTCAAAACATTCGACCAAATGAACTATTAAAATCGTAATCGGGTCACCGATTCTTCGATTAAATTAGATGGTTACCAGAATTTACACCGACTGTTTCTCATCTGATTTTACACATGTGACCGGACCAGATTTCAAGCAAGTTCCCTATTTTTAAAACATTGGTGAGAACTAAGAACAGAATAAACATAAGAGAAAATTACACAGAAACCTAAATTTTAAGTGTAAATAAAATATATGATATATTTTTACTTATCTTTATTTATTGGCTTGCTTATATTAGAATGAATTTTAATGTCGAAACATGGTTGAACAAAAAATATGTGAAATAGTGAAGTCCATAGATGGTAAGCCAGTCAATGTTGACCAACTGGGTGTTATAGGTTTGCAAAAGTCCGGCTGCGATTTTTTCAAGGTTTCTAAAGCCTTAAAAGCTTCAATTCTCACTTACCTTAAAAGCAGCATATTCAGAAATATTTAGTTATTAGTTTGGACAAAGTTGATTAGTTAAATAATTAAAAGAATGAAATATTATATTAGAAAATATTTCCTTAATTTAACTATTGACTATATCAACCATATCTTGTGTGATTCTTACAGTGCACAACATTTTATTTTAGGTAAAAGATGTTCGGACCTTCGACAAGCCTTTATATAAGTAAAGACGAACATTAAGGATTGAACAAGCTCTGAGAGAAAATTTTCACACACCCGGTGAACATACAGCTTGATGTTTAGAAGCATTCTGACCTATTTTAGTGAGTTCTAACCAGCAGAAGATTCAGTTCAGCATCTCAAAGCAAAAAACACACCTTGGTATGACTGATAAATTCTGTTCAAGAATCAGGCCACTTGGCGTAAGTTAAGATTGGCGAATCTTTATCCAAATGGTGGTTGCTGCCGAATACAATAGTGAAGTAGCAATAAAGTCAAGAACAAATGGTTTGATTCCATTTCTCCAACAAGTCCAAAAGAATGAGAAAACGAGGGAATTGTTATTTATTTTCTTTTGATTTTTTTTAGTTAATTTTGTGAAATTACTAAATCGAAACTATTATATTTTTGCATCTTGATTAATGGATTAGTTCTTTACGCCATATCTGTGTTCTTTCTTACTTAATCCTATAATAGATCATTGTTTGCAAAACTTAAATCTGTTAAGTCACTTCAGTCATAACTGTACGTAAAACTACTCATTGGAAGTTCTAACTGATTGGCATATTCAGACATTAACATACAATTGTGACAAATTGTTTAAATTAACCTGGTTTAGGTATTAACATTAACTTCTCATTTCAATAATCATGTACAAACATTTTTCTTTCAAAAATCATGTGTACCTTACCCCCTCACATACACACATCCACACCACAACAAAAACGAAGACCATCTCTCTATCTACTCTCTCTGCATCTATAGCTTCGACGGCCTACTCTCTCTTCCTACTCTATCTAAATTTGTTCGTTGCTTCCACCAACTCCAACCACCATCACAGTTACCGGAAACCAACTCTACGACTACTCTTTATACCCCCTTCCCAATTAACACAACCCCACATATCATTTCTTCATCCCATATCACTATTCTACACCCAATTCACTTCCACAATTGCTTATCATCGTCGCCACTACTCCACCATCACCATCAGGATACATGCCAAGTTGTTGACTTCAAAACCCCCATTGCTGCATCTAAAGGTAAGCTAGTGCTTCAGCCTCATATCTATCCCTTCTCTGTAAGGGCGACAACAACCCAAAGAGGCCCACATGTGCTTCAACCATGAGCTATTACTTCAATCTCCTCTCTATCGCTCTACCATCGCCATCGACCAAAATGGCCACGATTGATTATTGTAGTGTAGATCTATTTAGATGGGACCGCTGTGAAGGTGGGTTGGAGATGGTGGTACACGACAGCACATCTGTCTGGAATAGGATGTTGTGATAACGTGTTGCAGGGCAATGATGGTAGTGGTGCATTGGAGGTTGTAATGGTGAATCTGAGGTACAAGTGAAGTCTAGTGGTGCATTGTAGGTTGTAATGGTGAATCAGGTTCAAACGTCAATAAAAGTAGTAGTACGATGGAGATGGTGGTGGATTGTAGATTTGAGATGCGACGGAGATTTGGGAATTGTCGTGGTAGTGAAGTGAGGTATGCGGGATGGGATGGAATGGGATGGGGTGGAGTGGGGTGGGGTGGATTGCGTTGAAGTGCATTTGTGACCATTTAATTGGATAATTAATCAGTGATTAATTAACAAAGTAATGTGTGACTAATTTGCGACTAAATTTGTAATTGTGTTTCACAAATTGTCGTTGTTATTGTGATCCCATGTCATTGTGATCAATATGTAATTGTGAGAAAAAAAATATTGTGTTATTGTGACCGCAACCAGATCAATTAAATTATAGATTACAAAATTTTATTAGAGCCTACAAAAGTAACAACTTGATTTTTTAAAAGATTACATAAGTTGGTTATTTTTGAAAATATGTCTTAAGATCTTTATAATTATGTAATTGTAATTCGTGTACTTGAGGCAAGAAATGAATATTATCTAACATTCTGAAATCAAATTATGAAGATATAAGACATTTCTTGGTACTTTCTTCCTCGGCCTTGTATTTGTTTTCAAGTGCATCCTATATTTTTTTTTTGTCGAAATGGTGTTAGTGTAAAGATCATACAACCGATCCGAAAGAGCATTTGGGATGTGACCACGACATATCAATTTGTCATCTTGCCTTTTCTTTCTCTCGTTACAAATTTCTTCTGTATCTTTTTCAGTTGCATCGGCACTTGGTTCCAAGATTGTGTCAAGCACATAGATCTTTAAATGCCGTTAGAAGGAATTTGAGTTTGTCTTGCCATTGCGAAGTTTGATCCACCAAACCTATCCAAGCGCACAAAATCTTGATTCATCAACTTGATGTTAGCCAACGTGTTTCCGTCTCCATTGCAGTAAATGTGAAGTATTGTTTTTAGATTGTTGTTGGAAATATTGAAGAGGAGAAGAAGGAGATTAAACTTGAATAAGATAGATACATACTCTCAACAGATACATACAAACCAAGTAATACATAAACGATACACAATTCATAATTCACTTGGAAAGTCTATTATTCCTATGAGAATATTTAAACCTTCTTGTGATTTTGTAGATAATATAAGAATCGATCAATATAACCATCTTGTGTATCTTTATTCGACAACATTTCTCTCATATCATTGACCTTTTCCCTGTAAACTTTACCTCCTTCTTCCACCATAACCAATCTCAGCGAGCAAGCAACTGCGTCTTTAGTAAATGATCCGTCCAACTCATTTCTCGCTATCTCATGTCCCAACTTCTTTTCCTCCAATAGGCTGGAAATCATTCCTTGGTCCGCCAAGAAAGGCAACAAGATTATCGATTTCCCGAATTGCAGAGCCTCCACTACTGAGCTCAGCCCGGAATGACACAAGATTCCACCCACCGATTCATGGCTCAGTACCTTGAGTTGAGGTACCCAACTTGTAAAAACCACCCCACGTCCTTTGATTCTCTTCTCGAACCCATCTGGTAACTGAGTCATCTCATTATCTGCTGCCCCTCGTTGCTTCCTCAGAGCCCAGAAAAAAGGCAATTCCGACTTCTCCAAGCCTAATGCAATTTCAATGAGTTCATCTTGATTTGGTTTCGTTTCGCTTCCGAAAGCTACATACACAACCGATCCTTTTTCTTTCGTGTCAAGCCATTCCTTAATTTCAATCCAGTTTTCGTTTTGCTCTTCAGAATCGCCATTAGTAGTTGTTGGGGGTAAATGACCGACAGGAATAATTGGTTTTTGGTAAATATTCTCTAGAAGTTGTAGCCACTCAGGCTCAAACTCATAACAACTTCTCATCACCACCACATCACAGCCGTCAATGGTTGCTACCAATCGGTACATGTCCGAAACATTACCACCGTCTACTATTACCTCCTTAAACTGGCGATTAATTTGAAAGAAGCGCATAGAAACAGATGTTTCGAAGGGTACCCACTTGGGTTTCACGGTGAAATCTTCAGGCTTCACCCGATCATCTTGATTTTGCAATATAAGTGATGTTGGGCCAGTAGCGCTCAAAATAGTTGCAGTAAATATGCTGAAAAATGCACACAGAATGTTGCGCTTAGCAGCTTCTGGGTATAACCAGTATTGAGCAAAATCAGCAATAACCCAGTCAGGTGAGGAATCTTCCAACAAACAAATGATTCTTGGTTGAAGCTCGTCAAAGGCAATTTTAAGGTAGCGGACCATTTCGAATGGTAAATCAATGGTGGCTTCTGCATCTTCAGGTAGATTATCAACTTTTGGCAATTGAATCTTGACAAATTCTAGTCGATGGGTTAAATTCGGAGGCGGTTTGGGAAGACGTTCAATGTTTCTGTGAGTCGAAACAAAGGAGACTCTGTGGCCTTTCTGGGCTATGAGCTTGGCGAGCTCTAGGTATGGAATCAAGTGACCGAAGGCCAGCCATGGGAACATGAGAATATGCAATTTACCCTGCTCAGCCATGGACTACAGATTTAGAGGTGCAGTGCACAAGATTTTCAATATTTTTCTGAAAGTTTGTGCTTTTACGTTGATTAAGTCGGTACAATTCTAACATGCATTCATATCATAATTGTCCTTTATCATTCCACAGGAACTAATAATTGAGTTGAACAGAAGCAAAACAAGCATAAATGGGTCACAATACTCACATGTAGATCCCGTGAAATCTTTTTTAAATGAACCGTACTATAGGTACAGAAATTTAAATTCCTGTACATGTGGATCCCGTGAAATCTTTTTTAAATGAACCGTAAATTCCTGTACTAGACAAAACACACACAGCAATGGGTGGGGTGGAGGTTTTTTGCCAATATTTTAATTACATTGGGGCCACCCCAATGTGGGTGATATTCAAAATTCTGTATCAATTCTATGCATTATTCCCTATACTCAGAGCATTATTCTTCTTAAATACATGTAGCGATGGCAAACTGGCCGAGCAACTCGACCGCTCGGCTCATGGGCAGCTCGGGCTCTTCAAGCACAACCTAGCTGGCTGACTCGCTAGGCGAGCGGCTCATGGGCGACCCAACGAGCTCTCGTCTTGACGAAGGGTTAATTTTTTAATTTTTTAAAAAAAAACGAGCTCTCCAGCCGAAGCTTGGCTTGACCCACGAGTGACGAGCCAAGTAAAAGCTCGGCTTGTTATAAACGAGCCACGAGCTCGGCTCGTGGCGAGCATGGGCAGAGCTCGTGTGCATACGGGCCGACCCGATTGCCATCGCTAAATACACGGTGGGGCCCACTCCATTGTGAGTATTCTAGCTCATTTCTGTGGAAATGTTTCTGTACATGGGAGAAAGTTTCTAATTGAGTGGTGGGAGGACGGGATTTTTCTTTATATTATCCATGTACATATTAATTTTTATATGAAATTTATCATTGCTATTGATTTTAACAACATTCTTTCACATCATTGATTAGATTTTTGACATATAGAAAGATGTAACAAAAATGTCAACAAAAATGTACAAATAGCGTAATTGATTATTCAATGGTACTCGCCAAACATATCCAACATTTATATTAAGTGCTTGTTTGTTAGAGATTAATGTCTAAATTTTAATTTAAGTTAAAATCAATAATTTTTTAAACACATATCGTATAGAATTCACAACTTTTTAACCATATATTTTATCATTTTTTATCAAAATGTACTAAAAATCTTATTTTAAGTAAGGGTCTAAATGAATTCTGCTAAAATGGATTATTCATATTGTCCAGAGTGGTTTCACATTGTTTTATTTTTCTATCATCTTCCTATTTTTTTCAAAATACATTTTTCTCTTTCTTCTTTTTAACCACACATTTTTCATTAAAATAATATTACACGTAAATTAAAAAAATCCTTCTTTTTTAACCACACATTCTACATCATATTTTTCATACACATGTAACAATTTTTTTCCCAATCACATTTATATCATTATCATTTCATTAATTAGCATATCTTATATATGATTGTACTCATTCAAAAAAGCCGGTTATGATTGCACAAAATAACTTACTTGCCCATTACATTGTTAATTAAGAGAAAATAAAACTAATACAAAGGTGAGACTACATATTTGCTCCAACATCAAATCATGTTATTAGACTATTTGGATGTAAACCATCATCAGACTAGATATGCGAATTAATGGAACATCGAAGATAAGGACGTGACAAGTAAAAGTTGGGGACATAATTACTACATGAAGCAAACATCAAGGACCTCTAAGAGCATTTATAGGAGACTTTTTAGGGCAATTTATACTTTTCGTCCCTAGCATTTGCAAATTGATACTAATCTACCTTCAACCTTTTTTAAGCATCAGACATTATTAAAAGCCTGTTTGGGAAAGATTTTTAGGGAAAGAATTGATTTTGAATAGTGATATGATGGGAAATGTGTGGTTGAAAAAGAAGAAAAAATTATTGATGTGATGAAAAATATTATTTTATTGAAGAATGTGTGGTTTAAAATGAGAATTGATTTACTGTAGAAAATGAAAATTTGTACCAAACAGACCCTTAAAATAATTATAAATTAAACACTGAACCCAAAAATTTAAAACTTAAATCAATGGTTGTTTAATCGATCCTTGTTTGGGAAAGATTTTTAGGGAAAGAATTGATTTTGAATAGTGATATGATGGGAAATGTGTGGTTGAAAAAGAAGAAAAAATTATTGATGTGATGGAAAATATTATTTTATTGAAGAATGTGTGGTTTAAAATGAGAATTGATTTATTGTAGAAAAAGTTAATCCCTCCCAAACAGAGCCTAAACTTTTGAAAATATAACAAAATCCATCTTCTCGTTAATTTTGACCATTAAAGTCACGTAAAATGAAGAATTTGCCCTCTTTAAATAAACACAAACATCAACTAAGACCCCATTTGACTCTATTTAAAATAAAATAATTTATTTTTCATACTCATTTTTATTCACACATTTATAAATAAAATATTGTGAATGTAAATTTAAAAAAATTTCCCACTTTTTAACCACACATTCTCCAAAAAATCACTATTTAAAATATCATTTTTTACACATATTAGACGAGGGCTAAATATAAAAATGTATAAAGGAAAAATTGCAATAGAAGCCCTAAATATTTTCCAAAATTACAAATAAATCACATTTAAATACAATTGGTAAAAAAATTAGAAAAAGAAAGAAAAAAATTATTCCTCCCCAACCTTCCTCACCCAATCTAACCCCCACAATTCCGGCCAAACCACAAGTTAGCCACCGCCACTCCAACCACCCCCCACCACCAAGAGTCAAAATTTCTTTAAAAGAACTGTCTTAATGGATTTTGGGTGCAGTGTTCATTTTCATCCATATAACCCACCCTTTGAGAAAGAATATGATCCTCCTTTGGGAAAGAATATGATCCATTTGTAATTTTTAAAATATTTGGAAGTATTACTGCAATTTTCCTTTCAATATCTTATTTAGTTGTTTTGTTTTCTTTATTTAAAGGGGATGATAGATTCGTTATTTTTCTCAGATTTTTACGAAAAAATGGCTTAGGGACATGATTTGCAATTAAGTGTACTGGGGGTGTCTTGTGTTAAAAATGTTAAGGACTTAGAAAAGATTGGGGACGAAAAGTGCAAAAAATTCTAATTCATTTATTGTATTTTCCAATGAAATATTAAAAAATTAGAACTTCCAAGTAGCAAAATAATATTTTATATACATAAAGAAAAATGAAAATTATATCGACGCATCCAGGTAAAAAAGCTTATACATCAATCACAATGTGATCAATCAATAATTTGGACATTGTTAATTAATAATTTGGGCATTGTTAATCAATTATTTGGGCATTGTTCATGATATTACATTTCATTGTGATTAATCAATAATTTGGGCATTGTTCATGATATTACATTTTTATCAATATATGTAACGTGATGAAATATGCAAAAATAGAGTAAGAACTCATGTTTTAAAAATTGGATCAAGGGTCGATTCGAAAAAAAAAAAAAAAGAAAGGGTCAAGGGTCAAGGGTCAAAAAGTTGAACCGAGATTCACCCGTTAATTTTTAAAAATACAGCTAATTATTCACATTTATATATACTAATTAGCATCCAATTTCACTTAATTGAAAATTAATTTATATTTATTTAATATAAATAATTTAACATTCATTGTCATGTATAAATTATTTGGTATTAATTCTAAATTAATCGACATTCACTTTAATTTATCTATCGTATTTGTCATTCATCTTCATTTATGTATTTAGTTATAATTATAATATTCACATTCGAGTATGCATTTTACTATTTAAGCGCATGTATATTTATTAACATTTATTTTCAAGGACTTACATTTCTCTCATATTTCAATCAAATGGTAAATAGAGCGTTAAATATTACTTTCATAACACTTATAAAGAATTTAAGAATAACAAGCAATCTACGTTCAATTCTCACCAGCACATATATATACAAAGAAATTCAACATGAACATAAGTGGAACCTAAGTGGGCTAAAAGGCCAGAAACTTCTAGGGCTGGGCGTATGTTGGGTTGGATTGGTTTTGAATCCAAACCAATCCAATCCAACACGTTCGATTAGACAATAATTCAAACTGAAACCAACCCATTCACGGTTGAAACTCAACCCAATCCAAACTAACCAAAGTCGGGTTGGTTTGGGTTGGGTTGATTGGTTATTTGGTTTGGATCTGAGTACAATTCAAGTTGAACAATTTTTTTATGGGCCCCAATGGTTAAGACATTTTTCGTTGAATTTGAACAATTTTTTTAAAGTTTGATATCATTTAAATTTGGACATTTTCAATTACATTAAAAGGGGTGATTTGAAATGCATTAAGTCGATTGAAGTTAGATCAATGGTCCGTGGGATTAAGGGTGTGTTTGAGCCACATTATTTTGGAAGAATGTATTCTGGNAGGTGAGTACCCGGCCGTAAACTTCAGGGCCCCGTGGAATTAGTCGAGGTGCGCGCAAGCTGGCCCGAACATCCACGGTTATCAAAAAAAAAAAAATTTATGTGATGAAAAATATTATTTTAATGAAGAATGTGTGGTTGAAAATGAGTAGAAGAATGAGAATGAAAATTTTAATGGGTACCAAATAGGGGCTAAGTTCCGTACCAATATAACAATATAAATTAAGAAAATTGTAAAACCTGTTAAATATATTATTTCATGATCAAATTAAGTACATATTAAATCAATCTAAATACATGTTGAATATCTGCATATTATACTTAATGAATAAAATTAATTCAACCTAAATACTAAAAATGTTAAATCATCCAAACTCAATACAAAATCACCTCATTCAATTCAAGTGTTTATTCAAAAATCACGTCAAAAAATTGAGTTTCGAAGTCGAGGCACGAGCAGCAATGAGAGGCTGAAGAGACGTGAGACACAAGATAATTTTGAACAATAGGTTTTAGGTTTTTGATTTTAAGTACTAATCTTCTTTTTA